GATATGAGCTAACACACACACACACACACACACAGCTTGTCAAACTCGAGCTAGTGACGTTAGCATGCTACTTACGTTTTCCTGCTGCTGTGAATGTCGATCCAATCTTGAGTATCTGCTTGGATTCTGCCTCCGTGTGAAGATGTGTCGGTGACCGGGCTGTCTACGGAGCTAACGTGAGCTAGCTGGCTGTGTGGTGTTTCCTTATTTGACCAAAAAATATAATAATAATAATAATAATCGAGATTGGCCTCAGAAGAGCGGCGATAATTCCTTTCTCGGCGGTTCCCTGCTTGGACAGCGTTGATTTTTACGCATGTTTGACGCCAGTTCTGTCTCTCACGTTAAATAAAGACAATTCCGATCGCTCCAAAACAAATATGGACACTGAGAATTGGTTATATTATACAACACCGACAAAATCTAGCACTTTCTTCAATTGAAAGGCCAGAGCTATCCTTCGACTTTGGGTGCTGAACAAGAGGAGGTGTTATTTTTGGCATATGCGCGGTGATTGGTTGCAACGTCGAGGCGAAACGTCTGCTCATTGGCTGCTTCTGCTGTCAATCAGCTCTGCCCCTGTCCAGAGCTGCAATCTCATTGGTCTATTGCCGAGGTTCTGTGACGTAGTGGATCTGTGGATGCGTCTTGGCGTACGCCGAAGCGAATGCGGACAGGCGGGGTTAGTCTTGAAATATAAACGTTCAACGCCGCGGCGGGAGTCGATTGGACGCAATCTGGCGGCCAGGAGTCAAAATATAAATAAAATAAAAGGTGGCACATTTGAAATATGTTATTGCCCTCATCTTCTGTATGTTTGGAAGTTACCCCACATGCGGGCATGACTGCCCTGGAGTGAATAACAAGCGCAACCTAATTCAAGCACAGCACTGAAGGGTTTCCAGTGGGAGAACAGAAGAAAGAATTGTTCCATTTTACTATAATTCACTTGTAATTATGCCATTTTAAGAATGAACACACAGATATTAGGTTTCACTCCCTACAGCCTATAATTTGTATAGACATATACGTATTTCTAAACTAAATCCAACAGAAATCTAATCAAAAGGGACGAAATCTAATGAAATAGAAACTGTGATGACAGGTTGTTCATGTTGAGAATCTGAAGGATCAGCTTTACTGCCAAGACCCAACACATGGTCATCAATTAACTAAATGTAACTATATCCAGGGATCTATTTTCAAGCAAATTTAAATCTTTAGGTTTTCAATTCGGCTGAATGTGGAGCAGTTTTGCTTCACTTTTACACGTATATCAGGTGATCATTGCCACCTTGTAGGTGTAGCAGCTCATTCTCGATGCATACAGGTGATTGATTATGTCACCTCTTAAGTTTAAGTCATGATACCCTGTGTTTTTAATAGCAAAAACCTTGTAAATTCTGTAAGATAACACTGTTTCCTAAAAATATGCCTTTCTAAATATAGAACAATACCAGGACAAAGGTTTCGACCCTCTTGCACTTTGCTTTCTGGGTGAAGGACCTGAAACAGTCACAGCCAAAGTCCCATGTAGTCTGGATTGTACTGTACAAAAATGGCTTCTTTATTGTCTGGTGTTCGACATGCAGCTACACCTAGTCTTGAACATTGACCCCTGCGTTACTGGCCTTTTTCTGCATGCGTCAAAAGAAATCACACCGTTATCTCCTCAATGATCATATAGGGAATGGTAATTATTACTCCCACCCTCTTCTTTACTAACCTTTTTAAAGAGGAACTCCAATTTCAGCACAGAATCTAGTTAGGTGGTACGGTTGAAGCCACATTTGGAAAGCCAATAGAGGAAGGAGGCACTTCAAGCTCAATTGAGCCACAACACACATCCGCACAAACGGACACTGTACCCAAGACTGGATTACCAACTGGCACAGTGAGGAACTTCCCCCGGGCCGTTGTGTTTACAAGTTATATTTTGCTGTAGAAAAACTGTACATATTGAAGGGAGAACAGGAGGATGAGGGTGTTAATAGGAAGCTAACAACTTGTTTTTGCCCCAAGGGTGTCACCTAGCAGGTTAATCTGGTACCTGCAAGAGAGTTTAAAATCAGTCATTCATAAATGCAACACAGTTGGCCTGATACAGCAGACTGCATGGAGGACAAATAGGAAATAATAAGAAAGTTTATCATTCAAATGAAACATTTCTAACTGCAAATTGGGTCAAATTGCAGCAGGATTAGAACATGTTTTACATGAGCTCTGCCTGGTCTTATAGTGAGAGATATCAGTGTAATTTGGAAAAACACCAAAATATTTGTTCCTCATTTCCAACTTATTACCTTTATTAGTGAGTCAACAGTATAGACAGATCACCCAAAATTACGGGAAAGAAGGATGGGGAACGTTATGCAACAATAAACATCCACTCATACCAGGGATGTTGCAGTTCATGGTCAGGGCATAACACCTCCAAACCACCAGGCAGAGGGGGCAAACGTATACACATTCTTTACTCAAGTAGAAGTACAGATACTCTGGTAAAAGTAGATGTACTGAATCAACCTCTTTATTCAAGTAAAAGGGTGTCTTGGTTTCTCTGAAGGACATTTCTACCAGCTGTTTCTGTGCAAAGCTAACTGAAACTTCAAATAGGGTCTGATCTACGTCTCTTGTCTGTCATGTGATACACAACAGTCTTGATTTTGGAAAAGGTGTGAAATGACGCAAAAAGGTAAAAACAATAATCCATAATACTCCTCAGATGCATTCAAATAAAGTCACAAGCCTGTTTTGAAAATGTAAGGAGTAGGAAGTACAGATATTTGTGCAAAAATGTAGGCGGTAAAAGTAAAAAGTTGTTAGAAATATACTCAAGTAAAGCGCCGTAAGGCCTCAGTATGATTCAAACAAGTCAGATCATCTAGCAGTGTTTGAAAGCCCCTCACCAATGTCACAATAGAGTTAGAAAGTGGGAGGAGATACCTGGAAGCAGAAGTCTCATTCATTTCCTCCACAGACAACGTGGCATTAAACTCTCTCTGTTTAATCATCAGTACAAAACATGAGACGACTAGAAAATATTACTCTTTCATAAAAAGTTAAAGGTACATGATTGTGTACATTAAAATGTAAAGAGAAAAGTTAAAGAAACATCCAATCACAGAGCTTAAAATTATATTACAGCTAATGGGGGCTAAAGATTAAGGTGTTAAGAAAACTAACAATAAATAATTTGAATTCTGTGCTTGCTGCTCGACCTTACTTCCTCTCTACGGCAACAGTAGCCAAGGCTCGTGGGTATCATAGTGTAGGCTGCATGAAATAGAGTTGAAATAATTAAAACTGGTGCTTATAGGGCTGTTACATTATCCAGGAGGCTCCTGTGATGAGAAACATTGAGGATATCGTTAAAAATGGGTTCTTTTCAAGCGTACTGAAGTCTTTATTTTGCAATATACTGTCTTGTTCAAAAATCAGCAAAAGGATTACACACATTAAAATACTGACAATATAGCGAGATCACCAGAGTATGAATAAAGATTATATTCTAGTCAGTTGAATGTGCAAAAAATAAATAAAATGTAGGCTGCAGTGAATAAAACTGTGGTGGGAAGATTAAAGAATAAACATGAGTATAAGTGTGTGTATAAAGATGTTTAGTTAGATAGTGTATCAGTGGATCAGAACTATGGTGTGTGTGTTGATGTGGTATTTGGGAGGGGAAAGCTGAACAAAGTCTTATCCTTGTCTCATTCTTGTGTTTCTCCCTCAGGATTAGACTTGGTCCTTATTAATGAAAAACTCATTCAAGATATCAGAACCAGTTCCCCTGAGGAAACCAACCAGGGTTATGGAGGACACAGGTCAGATTAAGACCGCTGTGTTAATGTGTGTGTGTGTGGTGCGAACATGTTACAAAGAAGATAGAGATGTGTAGCTAACAGAAAGAGAGACACAGAGTAGTGGTATTAATTTTCCCAATGATGGGGATTATCACTGGCAGAATTTGATCATTCTGCTCTTGATCAGGATGGTCATAATCACAGCTGTACCCAATATTAACTCTCTGTCTTTTGTCCCTTTTCCCTCCAATCTCCTACACAGGACACACACACACACACACACACACACAACATCATTTCACTCCAACACTGCGGGCTTCCATTGAGTAAAGTGCCCGCTGAGCCTACTGTCAGGGCTGGTGTGTGTGATTGTTTCCGCCACCTGGGTCACCTCAGGGATGGGTGAGAGAGGGGGAGGAAGGACGGAGGAGGAGGAGGAGGAAGAAGGAGGAGGAAGAGGACTTGTAGTGGTGGGTGTGGGGTGGGGGATGGAGAGGGGGGTCTCTGGTGGGGGCGATGCTAGGGTTTAGCGTCTTATGGAGGCAGCTGAGGGAGAGTAAATTTAAAAACTGCTACGTCTAATCCGGAGGCGCCAAGAACAAAGTGGGCAACACTCCAAAATCTGATCCCTCGTGTTTACATGGATCTGTTGATGAGCTTAAGCCACACACCACACACACAGGCGCCGACAACACACGCACACATTCCCTCAAATGATATGCGCACACATGCACTTACATGCATACATACACATATTCCCTGCTGCTAAATACTCTGTGATTGTTGTCCCGGGCGGACAGAAAAGAGGAGGAGGACGGAGGGCAAAAGGGGGGGTTGACGGGAGGTACACGGCCCTGATCTGCACTCTCATTTTCAGGCCTGGAGGATCTGCACCCGGGACATCTGGGTCACATCATTACAGCAATCTTCTGCTTTTTTTCATTCCAGCTTTAAGGGCTTAGGGGGTGACGAGACCTGCACACAAACACTCACACACAGCACACACACACATACAAGGATAAAGATATATATAGACAACATGTAACAGTCGCGTACAGTGAAATAAAACATGTCTGAAAGAGATTGATGGTTGATCTTCAGTAACAGATGTTAAGATAGTGAAATTGCTCAGGATACACATGCTGTTTAAAGAAAGTGTGTGTAAGTACATTTTTCTGAATAGCTGGATTGAAAAGGAAATATAAATAACTGTAAGACGACTAGAGACACACTGCCCTCCATCACTCACCTGTCAAAATGTTCTCGAGCAGGATAAACACGTTTAGAGCAACACAGGCTCTGGGCTCTGTCTGGTGCAGCTGTACCGCCCTCTAGCTGTCAAAAGTTGGCTTCACAACAGAGTAGCAGCTCCAACCGTCCACTAAAAGTTGCCAAGAGCCCCTCTGTCTTCAATAAACAGGAACACATGTATCTCATGTATGAAATAAAAATGTTGTGCTCTGCTGTGTAAACAATTTTATAAGGAGATCTGCTCTATCTTAAAAGTGTCCTGAGGTAACTTTTCTTATGATTTGGCGCTATACAATTAAGACTGAATTGAACTGTTGATGATCAGTATTAATGATAACTGTCAAGCTGCTCAAATGTGCGGTTAATTGTTATTTTATATTACTATAACTTTATTATTATCGTTACTGTCTTTTAAATGTTTACTCTATCTTTCT